TCATCAACAGCTCAGCTGTAGAGGTGGTGAGCAGCACTAAATTCCTTGGGGTGCACATCACAGACAACCTCTCCTGCACTTTTAACACCACCTCACTGGTCAAAAGGGCACAGAAGTGCATGTACTTCTTGCGGAGGATGAGGAGAGCCTACTTGCCCCCATCCATCCTCACGATCCTCTACAGAAGCACCATAGTGAGCGTTCTGATCAGCTGTCTCACTATATGGTGTGGGGGCTGCAGTGCTGCAGACTGGAAGAAGGTGAGCAGAGTGGTGAGAACTGCAGAGAAGATCATCGGGGCTCCTTTTCCCTCCATAAAAGACATTTCATTCCAGCACTGTATGACCCCTAACACCCCCACCATGGACTGTTCTCTTTGCTGCCCTCTGGGAAGAGCCTTTGCAGCATTCGATGCAGGTCCAGAAGATTCCAAAACAGCTTCTTCCCCACCACCACCAGACAGCTGAATGTTGAAAAAAAAAAAAAAAAAACTCTAAATCATGTCACAGTCTCTGCATCAAACTGACCATATCAATGCGTTTTTTTGCACCATGTTTTCTCCCAATTTTTACATATGATCAACCAATAAGATCAGGGAGGTGCTGCAGTGGAGGTGAATAAATAGACAATCCTGCTGTACAGCCTCAAGTCCTTAAAAAAGAAATAAAAATGTTGACATTATTTACTCACATGTAAACATGTCACACAAGCAGAAGTTTATTAATGGAATTAATTGCGACTGGGCATGTTAATTAACTGTGACATATTCAATGTCACTTGTGAGGTATGTGCATTACATAAATATTTTTCTATCCTAAAAAATAAATCATCCTAATTTTATTTATTTATTTTTATTTAATTAACTATCACATATTTCCTTGTTTCAAGAGAAGATTGTTAAAAAATTTATATTTTTAGACTGTAGGGGCCCATATGCTAATATTCTTTCCCAGGCCTAGCCAATGTTGTCAGCTGGCCTGTGTATGGTGAATAGTAAAACATGTGTAGCTGTAAAACAATAACACTATATATATTCAGTGTGACAGATTGCTAAGACTCAGCTACACATCTAGTTAGGATAAATAATGCAATAGTGAAATAACAAAAAGTTTTTGCTTTGGACCAAATTAATTTATGACCTGTAAAAGAAACAACTGTGCTGACATAACTGTTCTTTTTCCTGTTGCCGGCATGTTTCCTTTCGTGAGTTTTATTTATATTTCATTATTATTATTTTTTTATAGTAATTTAAAGGAAACTCCAAACTAAACATATTTTTAAGGCTTGACTAGGATGTAAACGTGCTGTATTTTCAGAATTAATCCTTTATTGAACATGTTAAAGCACAATGCAAAGAGTGAGCTCACATGAGCAAATGTTGACAGATTTAATGTCTTGTACATAGCCTATTGTGAGCACACTTGTGTAACCTTCTTTATTGATCATCATCTATATTTAAATATAGGAGGTAGGTGTATGTAAATGTTCATCGGAACACTCAGTCAGTCAGACTGTGAAAAAGCATGAATACTGTCAGTGAAGTGATCCAGCATATCATAGATCTCATTACAGAACATGTGCATGTGCAGCAATCCACCTACTACACCATCTGGGAGTCTGATTTACCCTTGCACTGCAAGACTAATATTTGGGCTAATTAGCAACTGCAGGAACAAGAGGAAGGGGAAGGCGTTTGGGATGCATGTAAGAAAATTGCTGTGTCCGCTTAATTAAAGTCTCTCAAAATAGGACGAATAGCTCCATGCTTCTTGTCTGAAACTCCACCTTCTGTTCCTTCCAATCCTAGCTGTTGTCTTCCTTTTCCATATGCAGTATCTGTATTTTGCCACCGGGTGGTACACCACGCATGGCTAAGTGAGGGCTAGGATAATTTTTCTGACAGCTCCTCAGCCTGCTGGTTCCTGCTTCATCCTACCAGTGCAGAGGCAATCTGGAGCCATCAAAACAGCTGGCAGCTCGCCAGGGCCCATCCGTCCCACTGCTCCCACTCACACTCTAACTAATGCTGGTCTTACACAAAAGAACACAGACAGCCAAAGAATGAAAGTTGGACAGACAAGCAGAGACGTCAAAAGACTTTCAAGTGTTGAGAGGGATGACAGAAGGTCACAACAGTGGAAATTTCAGCAGCTTCTGTTTCAAAGCCAGTCTTTTTTCAATATTCAGATCGAAGTCAAAGCATTTTATCTAGTAAAAACATCAGGCTTATAGGTAAAATGTGCCTAAAATAAAAAATTAAAAAGTTTTCCTTTTTTAATCAACTTATTTGACACATAATACCTTTCAGCTACAAGAGAAACAGATATGTAAAAAAAGGTTAGAACAAGCACAACCAACAACACTTTTCTAAGAGAAAGATTACATTGCCCAATTCTGAGGTTAATAGTACATTTTTTTTTTTTTAACTAGATTTGATGATTTGGCAATACTAAATACCTTTAGACTACTTATTCTAAGTATTTAGCTGAAGAATCTACAGGTTCTAAGACTCTTAAAAAAAAGAGAAAAACAAAAACAAACAACAAAAAAAGGCTGATGGGTAAATGAGAATATTGTAAAAATATGTTGGTTTATTTTAAATCTGTAACTTTCAGGATAAGTCATATTGGAGGAAACTGCCTTTTTTTAAGCCTGAGCATCAGGCAGTCTAAAGAGGCCTAAGCGTTAGTATACTATCTTTGTTATATGTGTAAGATTTTACTGGAATATCAGGGGGAACGGACACTTAAAAGTGAGAACAAATTAATAAGAAAAAATGTGTGGTGTTTTAGAAGAAGTTTTTAATGGCTTGAAAAGCTCATATCAAATTCTCTGCTTTGGGTAAGGGGTAACTTTGCTTTAGCAAACAGGTGGGAGTCTAATATTTATTTGTATGAATCTGTTCTCTTATTTCTCTTCTCTGGGGGAGACTATGCATTCTGATGGTTTTAAATGAATGGCTTGATATGCATGTGCAGGGGCTGGTGTGGATGGTGCCACTTACTGTTCCTTCACTAACATGGTCCAGAATAACCCTCACATTTCTGACTCATTCTTTTGGAAATTCATTTTGTTTCTCTCCTTGGCTGTGGCTGATTATGTTTGCTGTATAAGATCTAAACTTGATGTCAGTTTGAAACATTATCCCTTTCAATAATGAGTCATATATGTTCTGTTTATATACAACAGCCATTTTTTACCTTTAAAGATGCCTTGAGTGTTTGTGGCACATTCCTTGATAATTTTCAGTCAGTAGATCATGTTAGTTACAGACGTTTGGCTGGCCATGCATTATAGATGAAAATCTATCTTTCCAGAAAATCCCAAGTTTTCTTTATTGTAATGTGATCTGACAACTGTGAAGGCCACAAGTTTACAGTTAACTTATTCCCATATTAACAAAACCAGTTCGCCAATTTGAGTTTTGTGGACTGGTACCTAACATAGTCTTTGGCTATTCTAGCCCATCTGCTTCAGGATTCATTGTCTTTCCCACAGATATAGCATTCCACAAGCATTGATTTCAGCAAATGGTAAACTGAGCTATTACAGTACAGTACAGTATTTCCATCCTATTATCACTAATAAGTGTTCTTTGAAGTAGTGTGACGTTTCCTTACACATTCTTATTTTTGGACAACCAGAAAGGTGGTTGTACATGAAAACATTTTTGTTGATCAGTATTTTCTGAAAAACTCAGACCAGCAAAAATACACTTCCTGTTTCACCATTTCTGCTTTTGCACATCAAAATCCCTAAATGTACTAAACTGATGTCACGTAATAACAGTAGGATGAGTTGCTGCTTGTGGTACCAACGAACAAAACAGGCCTACCTAATAGCACTGTTGCCAACTCTTAGGCAAGGAAAGCCGCTATTGGCTGGCCTAAAAAGTCACTAGAAGTCGCTATATTATGTCATCACCTCATTTGCTTGTTTGGTAATGCTTTTATCCAACCATAGCAAAGGGAAATATCAGCATAAGAGAAAGTGATAAAAAATAATCTAAAAGCATTTAAAACTAAATATGAATTCCTAGTTTTTAATGATATTATTCTTCTAGGGTGGGATCACTTTTAGTGCACCAGATTACTCAGTGCTTTAAAGTGCTTTCATCAATCACCAACAACACCAGATACAGTATGTTGCTAGTCGCTTAAAAAAATAATTGTCACTGTGGGGGTCTAAAAAGTTGCTAACTATAATGACAAAGCCGCAAAGTTGGCAGCATTGCCTAAAAGTGTGTTTCTGTGTATTGTTTTATTTGTACAAATGCAAAATCCAATCATATATTGTATGCTTGTAAATCTGAATGTTCAGTTGTGAATACATGTTTCCACTTTGTTAAACAAAGTGTGGATAAATCTGTAAATCTGTAAATGAGAATACAGTATATGTGTAAAACAGATTATATATAAAATTATGCTTAAATTATTCTTATAATAATTCTCTTTTTACACAAGTTACTTATTTACTATGTATGAATACTGCAATTCTGATAGCACTCTGTATGACAACTTGATAAAAAAAAAAAAATCTAAATGTAGATTTAGCCTTGGTTTTACTAAATATTAATGTGATGCATACCTGAGCAGCACAAATCTAGCACAAGACTTAATCTGTATAGTTAATTATTCCATGAAGACTTACACCTTAGTAGCATGCAACTTCAACAGCCAAACCATCACATTTGTAACTGGCCAATCAGCTGAGATGAGGTAACGACTTTTCAAAACTAACACTTCTGAGCTGAAACTCAAAGCCACGTTTTACATGAAAAATGTTGCTTTGTACTGTATCTGGAAACAAATCCTTAAGAAAAACATATAACTTTTGCAAACAAATAGCAGCTTGTGTTATTATGCCTTGCAAATACATATATTTATATGTATTTTTTATATATATGCATGCATTCTTTGGATGCAGAATGATGAAGCCTCAGACAAGTTCATCTCAAAGTTACAAAGGTTGTGAGGAATAGACAAAAAACTAAATCCTACCTCTTTCACAGGAGCGTCCCAAGTATCCAGTTCCAGAGCAGTCACAGACGTAGCGGTTCCATCCCTCCCTGCAGACACCATTATTTTGGCAGGGGTTGCTCAAGCACTGTTTAGGAGGCTCTTTAGAGCATGAGGGTTTGACCCCGGCAGCCTTCTGGACCTCTGCAAGGCGCCGCACATCTTTACTCTGTCCATCTATAAATAAATCTCGGATACAGCCCACATAGCCATAGTTGAGCAGAGCTGTCCACACCTCAGTGGGGAACACGAGGCCCATCTTGTTTTCTGGCAGACCCCCAAGATACAGATTGTCATCCAAGTCCAAGATCTCACTTTCTCCAGGGGCTGTGTAAGCAGTACGAAGGGTATTGATGGAGATTGTACCTAAAACGAAAGCAGTAAAAAGATGCAGTGGGGTGAGTACAACTTGTTAGGTGACCCTGCATACCAGATTATAAAAGTTGTTATTTTTTTTTGGTGGCAAAAGACAGACTATGTTTGGTGAAATACCAACTTGCAATAAATGTCAGTTCTAATCCAGTTTAATGAAGAAATTAGCCTAATTAGGGTTATACATCTGAACAGAGTAAGGATTTTCTTCATTTAGAATGACGGATGACTGTTGATAAGACTTATTAATCACAGGCGGATAGTCAATTAGAAATCTAATCTGAGATCCCTGAGAGTATCCTCTCCATTTTCCTTGGATTTCCCCTAATAAATCTTCTTTATCTATAAAGCAGTGGTCATAAAAAGGAAAAGTAAGGAAAAGAAAAATCATTGCTCTCTTTATCATCAGACGTCCTCTACCACCACGCTATCCACACACACCCAAAAAAAGGCCATGTAACCATCTTTTTGAGCTTGATTAACGGACTGCAGACTGAAGTTTTTTCACCCTGTCTGTGCCTTCCTAACACATAAATGGGTAGTGGGAGTTTGTGTGTTTCTCTGCTATGATTTATCACTCTCATTCAGGTTTAATTCTCGATCTGGAGCACCGTAAACAACAGCCTACATGACTAGACTGTAAAACTTCAGAAAAGGAGGGCCTTACTGTGAAACGCAGACCGAGTGATTAATTTGTATATAGATCTGTCACTCTCAGCACAGGGCCCATTGTGGACTTTAATTAATGGTGGTTGCCTTGTCTGCACACAACCACATCGAATAATCCATACTCTGTGATGCTGAGGATCAGCCATGGTGGTGAAAAAAAGCAGGCAAATGATGCTGAATGATGCTTACATTTTGAGTAGCAGAGGTATGCCTTTGCAGATATGTAAGAGCTTTTGGCAGGCTGCTTTAGGCTAAAGGGGAAGACTCTGAAGTCCCAGTGTCTGATAGGAGCATAGCTTTAGGTGGGTTTTCAGATCAAACTGCTTTTGTTTGAAAACAAGCCGTGAGCTAAACTTCAGTTTTCAATAAAAAGTGATGAAATAATATTTATTTTTAAAGTCATTCAAAGTTGCTCTCCACATTTTTATTGTTAGCATCTGTGAATGTTTAAATAACAAATAGCTGTAAAATTAATACACATGATTTTCTTTGCTCTTTTGTATTGTAACATACTAGATTTTACTCAACAAAAATATACTCTTTGAGTATAAATATAATACATGCTAATAATTGTGATTATGCATGCTCAAGGTGAGTCAGCCTACTTGGAAAAGTGCATGAGAGACAGCTAAATACTTGGTGCACAATGATTAACCTGGTGCACAGTAACATGTTTCAGCTCTCTTCTTAGGGTCTTGGCCCCAGGCATCTGTTCCAAGTACTTTCCCGTCGTCACCCACTGCCCCTGCTCTCTCCAGCACCAGCTGTTGAGACTTCTAAGCTCTGCACACTTGGCATGGACCACCCGTCATGCAGCCAGAACAGCTCCCTTCAGGTTACAACTAACGAGCTCACTACATCAAACTCATTAGTGAGAAAACTTTTCCCAGACTAGAACAGGTGCCTAGTTGAAGAATGAACATCGGTATGATCAGGATAAATTGTGAAAAAAGTGTCTATACTTTCAATTTTGACATCTCGCCCTATAGCAATAGAAAGAGTGTTCGATAATGACTTTTTGAATAATACATTTACAAAGTAAATTCTGCAAGAGTCATCATCAATGCCTTACGAAAATCAGGAAATAATTACACAAGCTGGACGTCTTATTCAGTCACTTCAACTCACAGGCAGCTAGTGAAGAAATTGTAAACCCAGAGTATGCGAGTTTGAACTGATACAACTCTCAACTGAGTCAAGTAGAAAACCAATGACATCCTTACAGAGGCCCTAGATTTGGACTGCTCTGCTCACTTTTCAAAGTCCTGCCAGAAATTGTGTTAACACAATCCAACTATGTTATGTCTGAAGCCACTCTACAATCCTTTGGGGAGATGAGCCAATGTCAGCTTTAGACTATGGGAAACAAAACACATATAAAGACTGATGGACAGACAATGCTTATGACATTTGCAAACAAAAGAGATACATGACATATACTTGTCTTCAAAAACATTCATGGGGATCAAATGGTGATGGGTGATGTTTAAGAACTTTATGAGAAACATTAATTAAAGTAAAATGGCTTGTCAATGTAATCTTGTATTAGCTGAAAACTTTGACTGGACCATTCAAAGAGATGCTTTTATCTAAACCAGGTGACCCATGTTAAACTCCTGCAGCTACCATGCAGGTTTAATAATGGATTCACACATTTAACATTCAATCTTCATCTAAAAAATGTGCCATGCACCTTGGATCTATCCATACATGACCTCTTATTCTGAAAAGTACCAGATTTGATTTCCACATTGCTGACAGATGATTGATGGGAGCTGTCCATCAAGCCAGTTAGAATTACTGCACTGACTAGAACGAATTCAATTTACGACTAAATGGAAGATATACGGATGAAGAAGTTTGTGTGAATGAAGAATAAGCAGTGCCCTTGATCTAACAAAGCTGATTCAAACAGCTTAATTAATCTAGCTTTTTACCTGGTTCTTCTAAAAAGTAAACAGTTATATTTAGGTGTGTTAGTATTGGCTCAACATGAAACATGTAGGACACTGGCCCTTCCAGACTGAAAACTCCTAATCTTAACAATTTGTATAATGCTGTACGTTTAAATGTGTTGTCCTGCTGCAAAAAAATATTCTGCCCCAGTTTCTAGTCTTTTGCAGCCATTATTAGTTTTACGTTCCCTAATATCTATCACCATCCACCTTCCCATCAACTGGGAATACCATAAAGAGAGTGAATAAAAAAATCATTCCCCAAAACAAGTGATTATCTTCCTTATACTTTCTAATCATCTAATACTTTTTGTTAGCTCATTAAATATATTTGGTCATTGTAAAATGAACAAAAAAAAAAAAAAAAAAATGAAAAGGAAAGGAAAGCAAAAAAAAAAAAAAAAAAAAAAAAAAACATTGGGAAAGCTACCAAACCAGTAAAACAACACAGCATACTAGCTTTCATGTATCAGGTAAACACTAACTAATTACAAAAACTGATACATGAAATGAAATCTTCATTTGAAAGGGTTCCTCTTATGTTACATTTTAAAATTAACTTTAAAAATTCCTCTGACATTAGGCATGAAAGGATGCACCAAAAAACTCCACATTCAACCCTCTTTTGATCAAACTGTTTTAGCTTTCCTGTTCTCTTAAAGGCAACCAGTCAGATTATGGAATGATGGAGGCTAGGAGAGGGGAATAATATAGAAGAAAATGGCAACTTTAACCGATAGTCTGCTAAAGACAGTTCTGTGCAGTTTATAAATAACAACAGGAGCATTTTGACCAGATAAACACTAATTTCCATTAATTGATGTTGTTAAAGGTATAGTGGAGGATTTTTGCAAATTTCTGAAAAGACCCACACTCTCTACTTTGAAATGCACATGCACAAAAGAAAGATTTGCAATTTTTCCACTATGTCAGACTCACCACCGGTAAGTGAAAATGATGAAAATAGATGTTCTTCTCCATGATCAGTCCTAGTTGTATTAATTTGCACTTCAACTTCCAGATTTTTTCTCTTTAGCAGCAAACTAACAAAACCATTGCTACTGAATAGCTAAGCAGCTAATCAATGCATTTTTTTGATACATCACTCTTGAAATTTTGTGTAAGAATAAAAAGGCGTGCAGAACTGTAAGTTCAACTTTGTTCAAAACATTTACAATTTATAATCCTCTGTGTTTTCTGTAAAACATGAGGTTAGCTACTGTAAAATAGTACTGAAAATGGGGACAAGTACGTAGGACAGCCTTATGTAAACATATCACAAGAATAGTTATCAATTAGGAGGACCACTTATTTTGATGATTCATGCCTGAAAAGAACATCCTACACTATACCTTTAACAACAATAATATAAATGTTTTTATCCCACCAGAAAAACAGACAAATCTAACTCTAACCCTCATACAACTAATTTTTGAATGCATAGGTTTATAACATAATCTTTTTAGTCAGTTAACGAAAAAAGCTTTGTCCATGGGGTCTAAAAAGGCTTTAAACAGGGAATGTTTACTAAAACCATAGTTGGTAAACTGCTAGCAATATAGTTTGGGAATAATATTAAAGTACTTTAGCAACTATGGATTTGGCAAAGCACACAATCACATCACAACCACCTGATCCAAAGACGGCAGGTGATCTAAGGCTATGTTCACACCACAGCCTGAAGTGACCTAAATCAGATTTTTTTTGCCAATATAAATATGGATTGGATCTTTTCATGGCAGTCTGAACAACACAGATCCAATTTCTTCCAATGCGACCCAGGCCGCTTGCCTATGTGGTCCTGAATCAGATATGAATCTGATCTTTTCAAATCTATCCGACCTGAATGTCAATAATACGGGCAAGGAGTTAGTGCCTGCTTGAGTGCCGCCTCAAAGCGTGATTTTGAAACTGCATTTTGAGAACTTGATGCTAAGTTGCATTTGATGTTAAGTGGTGGAACAAAGCAGTAAGAGAGTAGATTTTTTAATATTTTTACCTCATTCACAGCCTTCAAGACAAGCACGACTGTTACAAAACATTTATAAAATGAATTTTGTATGATATGGGACCTTTAACTCTTTGCTTGTCATTAATATTTGTATTATTGTTGGAATGAGAACGATTAAATAATTTAGACAAAACCTTTTTCCAACTTCTAGTGTAGCTTAATTTATTTTTCTCCATCTCTGTCCTTCCATCTCTTTATCCCTCTCTTTCAGTGAGCTGGCCCCTAAGATTTATTATCACTTTATTATCAAACCTCTACACAGGGGGTCCAAATGACAACTCAGATTTCTCTCAAACCTTTTGCATTAGCAGAACACCTCAACTTGGCATGAGATCCAGTAGACCCACTCACACATCCCC